TAGCCAGGCATTCTATCACTTGAGCTAAACCCCTTTGAAAATAATATAAAATTACAAATAGAAATTTACCTACAAAAGTGAGTACTAGAATAAGGGGAAAAAATAAAGGTGACAGCTAACATGAACACTAACACCTCAAAGACAACAGATTTTTATTCTATCTTTTGTCAACTAACTCATCTGACTTGACGTTTCTTTGCATCTTTGGCTGTATTTGGTTTCCTGATCAAATGAGAATGATTTTATTTCACTTTATTTTTGCACTACCAGGGTTTGAACTTAGGGCCTACACCTTGAGGCATTCTACCAGCCATTTTTTGTGAAGGGTTTTTCCAGGTAGGGTCTCGTAAACTATTTGCCCAGGCTGGCTTCGAACCATGATCCTTCTGATCTCTGCCTCCTAAATAGGTGCGATCCACCAGACCCTGGCTTGAGAATGATTTTATATTGGTTTCTGTAAGGAGAGTAAAATGCATATTCATTTAACATGACTAACAGGGCATTGTTTTTATTGTATGTTATTTTTATTGGTAGTTTAGACACATTTCTTTGTACATACCCAAAGTGTTCTCAGAAGTTTCTTTTCTTTCTTTTTTTGGCAGTACTGGGGCTTGAACTCAGGACCTATGCTTGCTAGGTAGGCAGGCACTCTACCACTTGAGCCACTCTGCCAGCCCTGTTTTTGTGTTGGGCTTTTTTGAGATAGGGTCTTATGAACTATTTGCCTGGGCTGACTTCAAACCGCAGTTCTCCTGGTAACTGCCTCCTGAGTAGTTAGGATTACAGGCATGAGCCACTGGTGCCCAGCTCTCAGAATTTTCTTGCAGAGGCATATTTATTCCTGGGTGGCAATGCCGAAGAACCTCAGGCCATGATGTCCCTCTACCTGTCCTACCCTCTCCCCCACCTGGAGGACAAATCCCCTGGCATCAGGTGGTCCCCACAGTAATGTGTAACTTCTCCTTTGAAAGTTTTTAGTGATGGTCACATTAGGGTCTGGCTTCTGTTGAGTCATCAGGAATAGGTGGTGCTGGGTCTGGGTGGCTTGAAGCCACAGGCACTCAGGATCACCATAAGGGCTTATAAGGAGAGCCCTAGAGGCCTTAGAGGAGGCTGGGTAGCACTGCTTCCTCCCTGTCCTGGAGGAAGCTACCAAAGCAAACCTGCCTCATTCTTGGTTTAAATGGGAAATTCTCAAATATGGTCATCTTAGGGTATATCTCTTTTTTTTTTTTTTGGCACTGTTGGGGTTTGAACTCAGGACCTTGTGCTTTCTAGACAAATGTTCTACCACTTGGGCCATATCCCCAACCCCCTACTGATCTTAGGATGCCTTTATGCTCATCAAAATTTTTGAAGAACTCAAAGAGCTTTTACTTATGTATTGTTACTTAAAGTAATGGAAATTCAGACTGAAAAAATTTAAAAAATAATTATTTGCTAATTCATCTAAAATAATAATAAACCTATTATGTCTTACCATAAATAGCATATTTTGATGATAATTATATTACCCAAATAACAAGTTAATGAGAAGAGGGGTGTTGTTTTACATTTTTGCAAATGTCTTTAATGTGTGACTTGGTAGAAAATAGCTGTATTTTATCTCTTGCACTTTACCTGTTGTGACAGGTGGTCTTTGATTGAAATATAAGAAGAAAACATAGAAGGAGCAACTTCAATTCTCTCCTCCAATAATTGTGGCTATTTTCTCTAAGGCTCACTCAAAGCTTAACAAGCAGTAGATACTCAAAGGTCAGTTCCCATGTTGAGCCTGAAACTATCCCTATGACTTTCTTTATTCTGTGAGACTCCTGGTCCATGCTGCATTTGGGAGAAGTCTTTTGCTATCATTTTGTACTGACAGGCTTTAGTCATCAGGAAACAATCAGCACATTGAGTCATGAAGTTCTTTAAACTGTTGATGTGTTTTGTATCCAATACGAGCATCGCGTCTGTCAATAGCAGCGCCACAGTCTCACAGAGAGCCTCTGAGAGTGGGAAGCTCATCAGCTCGCAGCAGTAAGTTTTCCCAAGCTCTCACTTTTATTTGAAAGCTTGAGTTTTAGCACAGGCAACACAGTCTGCTAGTCATTTTCCTTCAAGTGACAGGCTAACTTGGTTCTTTTTTTTTTTAAGAAAATCTCTGCCAAATATTCAAGTCTGAGTAACCATGGCTCATCGGTCAGTGTTTCTTTCAAGTAGAAGTGATACTCCATGAAAAACATGACTGATTCAGCTCCTAAGTCGATGTTCTAAGTGCTGCTCCTGAAGGTGGCTGTCCACGCTCCCGTAGGCAGAAGAAGTACTTTCTATGTCCCCATACTTACCATTCCATCATACAAAAAGTTCAAAAGATGTGTGCTTAGGGTCAAGGTGTAATAAAATTGATAATTTTTACTGCTTCTACAAGAACAATCTGTAGTGAAATTAGCATTTCTTTTCTGCACATGTGTGGCAGGAAAGAATATGATGACTCTCAAGAACGTAATGAAGAATAATGCAGTTTGACGGCACTGCCTTGATCCATAGTGAGGCAGCAACTACTGCTTTGGCACCATTAACTCAAATATCACTAGTAAGAAAGGCAATGTTTGAATTTTATTCTGTAAATAGTTTTACCTCGTGTATCTCTAAAAACCCCCAAGGATTCCATGGATAATATTTGGAGAGCTGCTGCTTTAAGTGTCAGATATTTTTCCTCACTGAATCAGAGGTCTGGAGGGATACATCAAATGGTAGCTTGGGAGGACTGAATGTCACAACTGCTATGGAAACATTGACCTAATCTAATACTATCATTATAATGATGAAGAAATGAGATTTGTTCCAGCTAGATTGTTGTAGGACCAGGATAATGGCAGGTGTCTTCCTGTCTTATACACAGTGAGTATGTGAGCCTCTGTCCTGTGAGGTCACTCATCTAAATTCCTAAGCTCTCTTTTAAGTATGATCAGGGTCCTATTGTGTGTTAGAGATGTGAAATCAAATGACATTTTCTTCATCATAGACTTGGTGGTGTAGGAAGCATGCAGACAGATGAATCAAAGGCAACCTGTGTGGTCATTGCTCAGACAGATATGACAGGAGTCACAGAGCTCAGAGGGAGAATGTATAAATGTGCATGAGGCTCAGAACTCTTAAGTCAAGTTGGGAGGGAGGAAAATAGTGAGCCAGAAAGAGGGCATGAGAATCTTTCGGTGGAGTAGGAGCCTGTAGAAGGTGGGGAAGAAAGAACTGTGAGGAGTTGTAGGAATGGAGATACACGAGATGACTGGAGGGTGGGAGGAGGGAGGCCTGGAGGTTACCAAGGAAGCCTGGAGTCTGGTGTGGGAGGTGCAGGTTAGAAAGCCTGGATGGTGCTTTCTCTAACTTCCAGACATCAGGACATAAGGCGAATCTTCCATCCTCCTGGTCTCTTTGTCCCCCAGTTCACATTCTTACACAGCTGCAAGCAGATTTATGGTATGAATTCCTCACCTAGTGGAAGGCAACTCTTGAAGGAACAGTTTCTCATAGCTTAAATTCGTTCTGTTTCCTTGGCCTGAAACTTGCTGGGAAGTGCTTTTCATTTTTCCTATGGGACTCTTAGAAACGATGACATCAGTTTAGTAAGGTTGACAAATGTAAGACCTGCCATTCATAATCTGTTACCTTGCTGGACTGAAACTAGAAAGGGCTCCTGAGCAATGGTTTCCAAATCTGGAGAGTCAAGAGGCAAGTGGTTAAAAAATATAATCTTATAGACACAGCTTCCTAGGGCTCAGGAGTCTGCATGCTTATTTTGCTCCCCAAGTTGTTCTAATACACACAACCTGGCCTTGGTTTCCTGCCTAGTTATTTTGAATATCACTAGTTGGCAACTAACTGAAGAACACATTTAATACCTTGCTGTTTCACTGCATACTGATGGCTCAGTCCCCTGCGTCTGTGGATGTGAGCTCCTGTGACTGGCCTTTCTCATGCTACATGAAATGGTCTCCTCATTGTGCGAGTTGGAAATACTGATCTCTCACTGCATTTCTCACATCTCTCGCTTTTCCAGCTCCCAATTTTCTCTTCTTTCCTTTTTCTTAACAGAACTTTCGCCATCTCATTAGAAAATGTCAGTTTGTTTACTTTTAAAATCAATTCTTGGTGAACATATTGCTTTACCAAAGCAGTTTGAACGATTATATATGCTAGTGTGCACTGGTTGTGAGGAACTGTCTTATGAAAACCCCCATGCAATCCTCACAGTCTGAGTTTGCCTGGCATCCCAGCAATGTGCAATACACATACAAACCCAAATAAATACTTGACACCGAAGTCAAAGTTTAGCCTGCAGAAAGAAGGGCTGCATGACTAGACAGGGTGAGTGGGTGGTCCCAGCAGAGGGCTGGGAAGAGTCACAGAGCGTGTTACATTCCAGAGGGTTCTGGAGAGCACAGCATCCTTTCTGGGGTCTTCAGAACAGATTATCATCGTGTCAAATTTAAATTGGAGTCTTGCCTATTCTGTATTCTGTCTCTATTTTGCTCATTGGCCCCTAGGGAGTGAGTAGAGATGTAACCTAACCTGGTGGGGAGCACCACACTTGAGGAAGCAATGGTGGTGGTTTATGACCCTTATAGTCTCTCCCAGGCTCCACAGAAAGCTTCTCTGAAACAGCTGCATTTAGAGGCTACTGGACAAAAACTGGAAATTGTACAGGTAGAGGGAAATTTGGGGAGCTTCTGGCCCAGTGATTCTCAACTGCAGGCACAAGGGCCCCTAGGCTATGTGAGAATCCCTAGTAATGCGTGTGTCAAACACAGTGCCTGTTGCTAGATTCAAAGCTAAAGGTGAGTCATAATGGCCTTTCTTGAGAGCCTACAAGATTCTCAGTCATATTCTCTATTCTAGGCTCTTGAGGGTGGGCAGCAGTGAATTGCTATAATTTATAGTGCTGGATCAGTGGATCTATTCCTGGACTTGGCTCCAGTTGCTGGGTGTTCATTGCACCTTGGTTCATTTTCCAGAGCTTCTGCAGAAGTGCAAGATGCCTTCATGACCTACACAGTGTATGATGACGCCATTACCATTAAGCTCATCCAAGAGGCCTGCAAGGTTCTGGGTAAGTCTGGAAGGATTTATTTTTGTTTCTTAGGGGTGCCGTGCCAAAATAGTCATGGTAATTATGTTCTATGAAAATGTCATGAACACTGAGTTAGTGAATACTGAATCATTGCTTCTAGGGGAAATACAGGGCTAAGTTTCTGAGAGTCTCTGGTCACAGCATATTTGTCAACTGATCAATATATAATCTTATTTGTCCTTCCATTTAAAGATGTATATGATTCATTGACACTGAACTTATATCCAATCACACTGTAAGTCATGCCTTATCAAAGCTAATCTAACATCCATACTCACTCTATAAGGCACCTACAGATTCTTTGTGTTTAGGGACACTAGTCAGCAATTGGGGGCCATTTTAAACAGCAAAATCACCAACAAAAAGCATAAAAATGTGAACAGTGACACTAAATAGACCACAGCCTATTATGAAAGCTGAAATAAGAATATAGAACATCACCTTATTTGATCTTAGCTAAGAACATATGTGTAGGATGGTGCAGAATTTTCTGTCAGTGCCTACCAGTGACTTCAACAGCTCCTTACTGATTTTAAGGATCCTTATTTTAGCAGGTAGAAAAATGTGCAAATACAGAATCCTCAAACAATAAGGATTAACTGTATCACCAGTTGAATAGCTTAAGCCAACAGAAATTTGTTCTGTCATGGTTTGGAAGCCAGAAGTTCAAAACCAAGTTGCTGACAGGGCCATGTTATCAATGAAGGGACTAGGGGAGAATCTTCCCTCTTCCAACTTCTGGTGGCCCCAGGTGTTTGTGGCCTACAGGGGTATAATTCTAAACTCAGCCTTCACATGACTGTCTCTTCCCTGTGTGCCTGTGTTTCTGGTCTAACTTCCCTTTTCTCACAAAGACACCAGCAGTCATATTGAATTCAGGATCCACCCTAAATGACTTCTTATTAACTTGATTACATATGCAAACCCAGTTTCCAAATAGGTCACATTCACAGGTTCCTGTGAATTTCAGGGACTCTGTTTAACCCAGTACAGGGCTTTGACAGGTGTTGTGATACTGTTGGAATATTTCACTGTTATTACCTCTGGGTGTCAGGAGGAACAACACTGAGATTCCCTATAAGCCAGCCACACTCATGTTTACCTGGAAATGAACATGGTGTGCTGTGCAGGGTGCTGGGGACAAAGATCTTCTGTGCTTTGGCTTATCTTGTCCATCTGCCAGGACATTAAAGTGCTGCTGATAGATTCACAATGAGGGGACCACATACGGACCCTCCCACTTACAACACACATGTGGTACTCCCAGGATGACTTCTCCCATGGGGGTATTAGCAAGGGATCATTTTTTCTATTAACTTGAGGTAAGAGCTATTGAGGGGGAAGAGGTACAGACAAAAGAGTTTTCACTTTGCCTCTTTCTAGTTTATGACCCAAGACAAGTTACTTAAGCAGTCACAGCGTCCCCATTGATCAAATGAAAATAGTGGTAACTTCAGAGTTGCTTGGAGGAATAAGTGAGATAATGTATGTGAAAATATCTGGTACATAGGAGGCTCTCAAAAAATATCCGCTTCTTTCCTGTCCTTTGCCCATTTCTCACACAGTGAGTCCCTATGAGAATATGGGATGGCCTTTAAGTATTATCTTAGGTGGACACTACACCCACAGCCATAATGGCATCTGACAGCCTGGACAGAATCGCTGCAAGTGTCAGGTTAGGCCCTGTCCCTCGGGGCCTTCAAGCTGCTTCCTGTGCAGCCCACAAAGGATCAGGCAGCAGGGGCTGTGGTTTTGAGCTGGTTTGAGCATGGTGCTTCCGGGGGCCCAGAAAATTGGCTACCATCCTCAGGAGCAGTTTGTGAGGTGTTACAGGTTAAAGCCAGTCCCAAGCACCACAGTATGCAGCCCCGTAGGTGCACAAAGAACCCACCTGGGAAGAAGCTACTGCTGGGCCTGCAGAGACAGGTGGCTTCTTCAGAATGCAACTGTGATGAGTAATGTGCCTGTGTTGGGTGAGGCATTGAACTTGTTGCCCTGCCCTTTGAATTTCAGAAAAATTCTGATTGAAAGTATTAGATCAGCTTTAACCCATGCATCTGGAACTGATAGAATGGAGGGTTTTCCCCTTGATTTTCACATTGCAGTTTGGCTAGCTTTGCGTCTACTCTCATGTTCACAGTCATCTCCTGGATGCAGAAGACCTTCCAGGAATCTGCATCTAGGAGAGGTGTAAAGACTCTTCCAAGCCAGGAGGGAGATGTCTTTGAGGCCTCAGAAGCTGGGTGTGTGTAATACTCATAGTCCTCTGCAGTGCAGTCCCCTGCCAGCTCTGTGTCACCTCCTGTGCTATCTTATCAAGTTGCTGTGGTCTGTCTTGGAGCCACAGAGACATGCAGGAGTCAAAGGTGCCAAAAGCCTGGCAAGATGATGGTGTTTGGAGCTGGGTGGAATCTGGGCACCAACTGGTCATTAAAATAACTTCCAACCAGACATGTGGCAGTCCCCAGTCACCTGTCACCAGCACCTCTTGCTAGACAAGGTTGGGCCCGAGTCTGGAAAGACAGCACAGGAGTGAAATGGGTCTTTGCTTCTTCTCCTCCTGGAACTCAGACTCTAAGAACAGCAACTCTTCTGGGACTCTTCTAAAGTCAGTGCCCTGCTTCCACCCATAGTGCTGGGCTCCTTTGCTCCCAGAAATCATAGCTGGGCACCTTACGCCACAAACGTGAATCCCATTCCAGAGAAACTTCCAGAGAGAGATTCTAGGAAATGATATGCTGGAACCTCCAGGGTGTGTGCAGCACCTGCAACCCCATTCCTTCCCTGTCCAGTCTGGTTCTTTTGGGGAGGGGTCTCCTAGGTTCCTTGGTGTCCCCACAGACCATAGCAGGGGCAGTTTGTAAGGGGTGCATGCTACCTACAAGGGATCAGCAGGCTTTCATTGAAGAGTCCAAAGCCCAGAGTGTGTGCTCTTTATGGCACTGCATTGCCCCTGCTGGGCTGGAAGCCTAGGGACCTGGGTTCTAATCTCAGCTCTGAGTTGTCCAACACATAGTAGCAGAGTTTCTGTTTTATTTTCTTAAATATTGCTTTTTTAAAAATTTAAAATACATGATTGTGATGTCAAATATGCCTTTGTAAGTCACTCAGGCAGACCCCTTCTTGGTCTTAATATGTACCACCACTCCACATAGGAAAGGCCCAGATGTTGCTCCTCTGGGGACAATTCAGCAGGTCTGTGATTCCATGTGAGGACTGGTGGCCCACAAGCAATCTGATCATATACCACTGCATCCTCTCTTCTAGCTAAGAGGAGGAGCAACTAGTTATTTTCTCTACACAGAAAGAATGCAGTGGGTGAGAACTCTGTTAAGAGGGGTGATTATTTCCTAGCAGAAAAGTTGGACTTTTGACAGAACTTAGAAGATAAAAGAGCAAAAATGCTGAGACTGAATGGTGCAATTAAACCCATCTCTAGTCTTCCCTGGGTCTTATTTCAGGGGATCTCAGGTCAGCAGGTTGTAGTGCCTGCATCATACAGCCTCAGCTTGGTTCCTAGCTCTCTGCTAAGTGGCATCTTGTTATTCTAGAAGAAGCAAGAGGGGTCAGTTCTGCTCTGTCATACCAACTGTGACTTTGACTAGAATTTCCTTGAGAGTGATCTCCTTGAAAAGGAATAATACCTCTCAGGCTTGTGGCAAAGAATAAATTAGATAACAAGTGTAAACCAAGTAGCAATATGCAGGGCATCTAGTGGGGGTTCAGTAAATGTGAGCTGAATGTTGAACCTAAAAGGAAGGCAGGGATGTTTCTATATTTTGTACCTCTGAATGTTGCTCTTCACTTCAAATGACTGTGATTTAAAAAAATAATGTTCTGAGCCCTTTGATCAATAGTCAGTGAAATACCTACAACTATGAGCCAAATCTGGGCCCCTTCCTGTTTTTGTAAATAAAATTTCATTGAAACACAACCATACGCCTTTGTTTACAAATGTTTAGACCTCTTTTGTGGTATAATACTAGAGCTGAGTTATCAGAACAAGACCATACGAACTACAAAGCTTAAAATAGTCACTAATTACCCTTTATAGAAAAAGTGTGTCATCTCATATTTTATGGAATGGATCTTAAACACATTTTTAAGGCTTAAAAATCCTTTTTTACATAAAGCCTGCTATAGACTGAACTTTGTCCCTGCAAAATTTATATGTTAAGGCATTAACCTCCAGTGAGATGGTCTTTGGAGATGGGGCCTTTGGGTGATCATTAGGTTTAGATGAGGTCATAAAATACTGTCCCTATGCTGTGATTAATGCCCTTATGAGAAGGTGTCAGAGGGTGTGACCTGTTTTTTTCTGCTATACAAGGACATAGCAAGAAAGCAGCAAGAAGTCAGGTAGAAAATCAACTGTGTCAGCAACTTGATTTTGGAGTTCTACCTTTCACAACTGTGAGAAAATAAATTTCCTTTGTTGAAGCCACCCGATCTATTATATTTTCTTATGGGAGTCCTAGAGGACTAATGTTGTGGGAAATTACAAGCTGAGATACTGAGGCAGTTTAGCAGGAAGCAACATTTTATTGTGCCAACATAGACCCAGCGGATTTGTGTCCAAAGGTTGAGCCCCAAGAACAAAGGGGTCTCACCTTATACACCCTTGGAAGCAGGTTACAGAAGCAAAAAGGAAGGTCTAACCCATATATGGTTATATTCAATTCTATAGGCTACTTTACCCTAGTGCTTTGTGACTTTTTCCCCTCCACAGAGTTACATGACCTTCCTCACATTCAAATTTCTCAGGTTTTATCTCTCTGCCATGCCATCCCTACCTCCCTGCTACTTTATCAGGACTCAGGTCTAGTCTGTTTTCTTTTGATCCTCCTCCCTACTACACTAATACAAGAACTCTAATAAGTTTTTAGATCTTGAGAAATAAATACTTGAAACATCTCATATTACCCCAGCCTGTTTTATACCAGTGCACTTGTGAACACTTTAGTGTAGCAGCTTCTTTA